CTCCAGCACCTCCAGCAGCTTTAGAAGCTCCAGTCCCAGAACCGACACCTCCAGTCCCAGGGTCTCCAACCTCAGTGTCTCCAGCAGCAGCACCCCCAGAACCAGCACCTCCAGTCCCAGGGTCTCCAGTCTCAGTGTCTCCAGCAGCAGCACCTCCAGACGCAGCACCCCCAGCCCCAGCAGCTCCAGTACCTCCAGTACGAGCACCTTCGGAGCCAGCGACTCCAGCACCTCCAGTAGACAAAGGACCAGCACCACTCCTAGCTCCAGGGACGTCAGCAGAAGTAACTCCAGCAGCAGAGCCCCGGGCTCCAGCAGCGCGACCCTGACGCGACCGTACCAGTCTTGCAGCTGCTGTGAGGTGAGAGGCACACGTGGACGAAGGCGGCTACTCCAAGGAGACCGCGCAACAGCAGACTCAGAACCCTCAGCGCCCGCACCCCCAACGGCTCCAGAACCTCCGGTGTCAGTACCCACAGCGCCAGTAGCTCCAACGGCTCCAGAACCTCCAGCGCGAGCACCCTCAGCAGCTCCAGAACCTCCAGCTCCAGCGCCACCAGTACTAGGCCCTCCAACAGCTCCCGAACCTCCAGCGCCAGCACCCTCAGTAGCTCCAGAACCTCCAGCGTCAGTACAGCCAAGCTCAGCACCCCCAGACCCCTCACACTCAGGCTCAGCACCACCAGGCTCCACACCCTCAAGCTCCGCACCCTCAGGCTCAGTACCCCCAGGCTCAGCACCCCCAGGCTCCGCACCCCCAGGCTCAGCACCCACAGAAGTAGCACCCCGAGCAGGACCACCCTCAGTAGGACCTGAGTCACCAGTGACCTCAACCGGCGCAGTCAAGGGAGGAGGGTCTACCTGAGAAACACCTGAAGGAGCAGGACCTGGAGCGGGGAAGGGGTCTACCTGGGGAGCACCTGGAGCGAGGAAGAGCGGCGGGGGGGGGGGAGCGAGGCAGTGCGGTAGGGGAAGTGACGGTAAAAGGGAACCGACTCGTCGAACGTGACGTCCTGAGACGCAAAGACACGGCGCGAGGTGGGGTGGTAAAACTGCCAACCAGGCGCGTCAAGGACAAAGCCAAGGAAGACACATGGAACAGCGCGGGCGGAGAGCTTGTCCGCGGTGGTATCGCGGACAAAGGCACGAGCACCCCAGACCCGGAAACGCGACGCATCGCCAACCTTCCCCGTCCACAGCAGTGTGGGCGAGGTCTCGGGCAAGGAGACACGGGGCCAGAGGTTGAGCTGATGCGCGGCGTACCGGACCGCAAACGGCCACACAAAATGGGGGGCAGCCGCATGGATCATGGAGGTACGAGCGACCTCCATGACTAAGCCAATGCGGCGCTCAGCAACCCCATTCTGCTGCGGAGAGGCCGGAAGCGTGAACGTCTGGCGGATGCCGCGCTCCGCACAGTAGGCTGCCAAGAGGTCGGAGGAGAACTCACCACCTCTGTCAGAGTGCAGACGCAGGACAGGAAAGTCCGACCGGAACCGCTCGCGGAGCTGGAGACGAACTGCGCGGATCTAGGGGATCAAAACAGCAGGGACATCCGCCTTGCTCCGCAAGGGGAAGACCGTGGTGTAACGCGTGTAGTCGTCGACAACCAGCAGGAAGTACCGCTCGTGGCCCGGTCCCTGGACGCGGGCTGGGCCCCACACGTCCAGGTGGAGCGTCTGCAGTGGAGCCTCTGTAGGAGGAAACGAGGAGGAGTGAGGAGCGGCACGCTGCCGCCCCTCGACGCAAGAAATGCAGGGCGGTGCAGGCGAGGGAGGGAGGGCAGGCAGAGACCTGGGAAGACCAGAGACCAGGGAGCGATAGTGCATGCTATGAAGGCGAGGCAGGGAGGGGTGACCAAGGCGGTGGTGCCACAGGAGAGTGTCGTGCGACAAAGCGCGACACTCGTAGGGGGCCGCCAGCTGACCAGACGTAGACGCAGACGTAGCTACCTGAGGTGACTCAGTGGTCAGTGTGTACAAACTCGAGCCAGGTGCACGGGTGAACGTGGCCAAGTGCCGGCCCGTCCTAGCACACGTACAGTGAGTCACTTGCTGACTCGCAGGAGTGAACTGGTCAACCCCCCGATCCTGGAGGTCAGCTCCACTCACCAATTTCGTAGAGAACGAGGGGAGGTAAAGACCTGACAGCGAGCCGGACGGGGCGGCCGGACACGGCAGAACCGTGGAGTAGTGGGCAAGGACTGGCACCCCAGAGGGGTCCGCCAGGGAGACTGGAACTGGCCGATTAAGCGGCGTGAGTGTGGTGCAGTCGCGAAAAAAGGAGCGAGAAGCTCTTGAGTCAAGGGTGAAGGTGTGCGAGACCGCAGTGGGCGCAGTACCAGAGAGAGCAGACTCACCAGCACCTGAAGCCATGGCCTCACCAGTACCTAGAGCAGTAGACGTACTAGCACCGAGAGCAGCAGCCTCACCAGCACCTAGAGCAGGAGACGCACTAGCACCTAGAGTAGCAGCCTCACCAGCACCGAGAGCAGCAGGCTCTATACCAGGGTCAGGCGGTACGCACAGGTAACAGGCACGGTCAGCACTAGTAGGCAATGCATACATGGCAGTGATAATAGCATCATAGTTAAGCGCAAAGATATCTACCCTCTGTCCATGCAGCTCCAGCCAGGTGGGGAGCTCAGCCTCGTCGCCAAACACTGTGCGCCAGTCGTCGCTCAGACGGGCGAAGCAGCGGGACTGTGTGTGACCAAGCGTCCCACAAGGCTGACCAGTCCTAGCACCTGTGCGAATGACGTACGGGCAGCGAACTGTACGCGTAGACCTGCTACACTGAGCGTACCACTCATGGAGCTGCTGGAGCGTAAGTGTCTCGCGTGGACGCCGCTGCAGCTGCAGCTGGCCACTGCCATACGCTCCCAACTGACCAGCTCCAGGGCGACAGCTACGACGGCTACCGCGACAAGCCCAGATAGTATACCACTCATCAAGCTGCTGGGGCGTGAGAGGCTCGCGTGAACGTCGCTGGAGCTGCATCTGGCCACCTGCCAGTAGCAGTAGCAGCAGCAGTAGCGCGGGCAGGGCAGGCGCGGCAGGCAGGCAGGCAAGCAGGCAGGCAGGCAGGCCGACAGGCAGGCAGGCCGGCAGGCAGACAGGCAGGCAGGCAGGCAGACAGACAGGCAGGCCGGCAGGCAGGTAGGCAGGCCGGCAGGCAGGCAGGCAGGCGCGCAGGCAGGCAGGCAGGCAGGCAGGCAGGCCGGTAGGCAGGCAGGCAGGCAGGCAGCCAGGCAGCCAGGCAGGCAGGCAGGCAGGCCGGCAGGCAGGCAGGCAGGCGCTCACCAAAGGCTGGGAGAGCAGGCGCTCACCGGGCGAGCAGGGCCGGCGCTCGACGGGCGGCGGCCGAGTAGGCGCACGACAGCGGCGACGTCGGGGCCGCAAAACCGGCTGCAGAGCAGGGCCGAAGCAGCTGCAGGGCGGGGCTGCTTCAGCGGCAGTAGCAGGGTGGGGCCGCGTCAGCGGCAGGTCGGGGCCGTGGCAGCTGCAGGGCGGGGCCGCATCAGCGGCAGGTCGGGGCCGTGGCAGCTGCAGGGCGGGGCCGCATCAGCGGCAGGTCAAGGCCGAGGCAGAAGGCCATGCGCGGCTCGGCGCGGGCTGCGCTGACAGCACGATAAGCTGCTGCAGGCCGCGCGCGGCCGCGCTAGGCAGTAGCGGGCCGCGCGCGGCTCGGCGCGGGCTGCTGCGGGCCGCGCGCGGGCCGCGCGAGGCAGTAGCAGGCCGCGCGCGGCTCGGCGCGCGGGCCGCGCGCGGGCCTCGCGAGGCCGTAGCAGGCCGCGCGCGGCTCGACGCGGGCTGCGTGGGCTCGGCGCGGGCTGCGCGCGGCAGCAGCGGGCTGCGCGCGGCTCGGTGCAGGCTGCGCGCGGCTGCAGCGGGCTGCGCGCGGCTCGGTGCGGGCTGCGCGCGGCTCGGCGCGGGCTGCGTGGGCTCGGTGCGGGCTGCGCGCGGTTGCAGCGGGCTGCGCGCGGCTCGGTGCGGGCTGCGCGGGCTCGGTGCGGGCAGCGCGCGGCAGCAGCGGGCTGCGCGCGGCTCGGTGCGGGCAGCGCGCGGCAGCAAGGGGCCTAACGGTCTGCAGGGGCTGTTCGCGGGCCTGAAGGGCGTGTAGGGGCGGCGCGCGGGCCTTACGGGCCTCTAGGGGCAGCGCGCTGGCCTAGGGCAGCAGGAGGCAGCGCTAGGGCTGCTGGACGGCGCGCATAGTGCAGCACGTCACAAGGCAAGGCAAGGCAAGGCAGGCAGGTACGTGGGGTAGCGCGGTAACCGCAGCGGTAGGTGGGCCCGAAAAAAAACGGTCCTACGGACCTTAGTTCTCTGAAAACATGTTAGAATCTAGCAGCAGGAATGGATGAACTAGCAGGATGTAGGAGTACAAGTAGTAAACCCTAATTAGGTTGTACCCCATATGGGCTACACCACTACAGACTAGACAATATGCAGCACAAATAGTTTGACAGATGTAATAAATTGCAGGGTTGCAACCACTCAATGGCGGATCTGCATTTACTAGAAATACTACATATTATAATGTATGTTCCATTTTAGACTAGCTAGTATATGTGGCACATTGTAAAAATATTGGAACATTGTAATATCGTGTTCAGCGAGCATCGTGACTAGCGATTATCGTGACTACCGATTATCGTGACTAGCGAGCATCGTGATTAGCGAGGATCGTGACCTGCGAGCATCGTGACTAGCGAGCATCGTTACAAGCGAGCATCGTGACTAGCGAGCATTGTGACTTGCGAGCATCGTGACTAGCGAGCATCAAGACTAGCATCGTGATTGACATCGTGAGAATGTAAACCGTTAAGATGTATAAGTAAATTTCAAATAAATTCCTTTATCAATCCGTTAAAATGATTGAAACCAATTATTCTAAAAATAGATTGTTCAATCAGATCAAAGAAAAACATAATAATACTAAGAGAAGCTAATCTAAAGAGGGAAAAAAATAATTGATAACCTAGTAGATTTAGCTAGCTTATGGATATGTTAAATCGCTACAACGCAATGGCGCAACGATCGAGCGGCGTAATGATTGAGCGACGCAGCGACGCAACGAGGTCGGTGTTACGAATCGTAATATTTGATATTACTGTGCACTCCTCACCGCAGCAAAGGGAAGCAGTCCATGTCGAGAATGAACGTGAAGCGACCGACAGTTGGAATCAAACCGAAGAGTCAGACGGTTACAGCACATCTAGACCGTCGGAAGGAGACGGCATCGGGCAGCTGCAGGCAGAATGGTTTTGGCGGGAACAGTTACGAAACTGTACGCGCCGCACGGTTGGGAATTGTCAAACATTATATATGTTTGGTTTGTTAGGCTACAGTGGGTTAGCCTGTATGGGGTACACAATTCTAGGGTTAGCTATTTGTACTGATTTCTCTGTTAGTTCAACCATTCCAGTCTCGTAATCTTGACATGGTTTCAGAGCAGGTCCTTCCCTAGGACCGTTTTTAAGGGCCCACCTAACTACCTACATACCTATCAAGCGCCCCTAGTGCGCCTCCTATTGCGCCCCTAGTGCGCCTCCTATTGCGCCCCTAGTGCGCTATCCTTTTTTTTTTACCGCGCGCGATCTGCTAGCCGCCCGCGCGCGGCCTATTTCGTGCGCGCGACAAGCCAGCAGCCCGCGCGCGGCCGTTTTTTCGCGCGCGCCTAGCTAGCCGCCGGCGCGCGCGGCTCTTTTTTCTTCGAGCGCGGCCCGTCGCGCTGCTCCGTGCTGCGCTCGACCCCCCCGCGCCTTCGTCGCCGCGGTCGGGCCTTCAGCAACAGCCGCGGCAGAGACTGCAGTCGCGGCCGTCGCAACTGCTGCAGCAGCCGCCGCCGCCTCCCCTGCCGCGGCCGCCGCTGCATCTACAGCAGCTGCAGCCGCCACATCTACTGCAACAGCCGCCGCTGCAGCTACAGCAGCAGCAGCCGCCGCATCTTCTGCAGCAGCCGCCGCTGCATCTCCAGCAGCAGCAGCCGCCGCGCCTTCTGCAGCAGCCGCCGCTGCATCTACAGCGGCAGCAGCTGCCGCATCATCTACAGCAGCGGCCGCCGCCGCATCTACGGCAGCAGCAGCCGCCGCAATCTACAGCAGCGGCCGCCGCAGCTACAGCAGAATCAGCCGCCGCTGCCTCTGCAGCAGCAGCCGCCGCCGACCCAGCAGCAGCAGCCGTAGCCGAACCTGCAGCATCTGCTGCCGCTGTCTCGACTGCCCCGGCCTTGCCTTGCCCTGCTGCTACTGTCACTGCCACGTTTATTACTTACTCTTCCTCCTCCTGCTACCATGGCTACTGCTCCTGTTCTAGCCTTCGACGCTGAGGGCCGCCCAGTGAAATTTGACACCTGGCTCGATGATCTGCACCTTTTCCTACAGCTCACTGCCAAGGAAGACATTTCACTGTACGACCACGCCCTAGGCCATGCTACTGCCCCTGACTCCTCTGCTGCTAGCACACTGCGCTCCCAGTGGCAGACCCGCGACGCACACGCTCGCTTTGCTATCCGCAACTCCCTGCCGCTAGATGAGCGCGAGCACTTCGGCCAGTGCAAGACTGCTAAGGAACTGTACACAGCCGTAGTTGCTCGCTACTCCTCGCCTGCGTCTGCCACCCTAGGCCGCCTCTCCCTGCCCTACCTGTTCCCCGACCTGGCCTCCTTTCACACTGTCGCTGATCTCATCACCCACCTCAAGACTAGTGAGGCCCGTTTTCGCGCTGCCATGCCTGCCGAGTTCCTTGCTAGCAACCCCCCCCCGCTCTGGCTCACCCTCTACCACATTGTCACCCGCCTCCCTGACTCTCTGCGCACAGTCAGGGACTCCTTTCTAGCTCGCTCCCCTACTGAGCTCACCATTGCCCTCCTCGAGAAGGACCTACTTGCAGCTGAGGCGAGCATCGTCGCCGTAGGTGCCTCTCGTGGCGAGCCCCGCACCCCCTTCTTCGAGGGGTGTTCCCCTTCCCCCCTTCTCCCCTCTGTCGCCACTGCTGCTGCTGTCGACCTCCTTGGTGCTGAGAAGGTCGGGGCTGCGTCTGCTTCGAGCGGGCGCCGCAAGAGCAGGGGGGGCAAGGGTGGGGGTGGAGGCGGGGGAGGCGGGGGTGGAGACAGTGGAGGTGGCGGTGGGTCTGGAGAGGCTAGTGGCGGCAGTGGGGGTGGTGACAGCGGCGGCGGGGGTGGTGGCAGAGGCGGAGGTGGCAGCGGCGGCGGTGGCGGTCGTGGCCGTGGCAGGGGTGGAGGTGGCCGAGGCGGTGGCGGTGGCGGTGGCGGTGGTGGCCGTGGAGACGCTGGAGGTGGCCAGAGTCAGCAGCACGCCCCGACCCTCCAGGCCGCCCGTGAGTGGTACGCGCAGCGTGGGTACACTTGCACGTACGTCATCCGCACTGGTGACCGCACTGGCCAGCCATGTGGGAGGTCGCACCCCACGCAGCGCTGCTTCCAGCGCCTGACTGACGCGTGGCGCATCCAGTTTCCTGGGTCTACTGAGCTCCCCCGCTGGCCTGAGCTGGAAAAGAAGGGTGTTGATATCTGGGCTTTAGACTTTGATGCTATTCTCACTGCTATGTATGCGATGTCTATTAGTGGAGAGGGTGCCCAGTACTTGCGTGTTCCGCCCGACCCGGGCATTCAGGCCAGCCCAGCTGCTGCTCTAGGTGCTAGTGTGTCTGCTCCCACAGGTCCTGCTGCAGCAGCTGCCCTAGGTGCTAGTGCGTCTGTGCCCCCTGGTACTGAGTCGACTGCAGCACTCCACACCTTCACACTGGACTCAGGTGCTTCTCGCTCTTTCTTTCGTGACCGCACTGTCCTTGAGCCACTAGCTCGGCCGGTTGCTGTCTCTCTTGCTGACCCCTCTGGGGGTCCGGTCATTGCGACCTCCTCCACTACACTTCCGTGTCCAGCGGTTCCGTCCGGCACGCTCTCAGGTCTCTACCTCCCTTCGTTCTCTACGAACTTGGTGGCAGGTTGTGCGCTGCAGGACGGGGGTGTTCACCAGTTCACCCCTGCCTACGAGCGTGTGACACACTGCACGTGTGCTCGGACGGGCCGCCACCTGGCTACTTTCACTCGAGAGCCGGGGTCGGACCTGTACACACTGACCACTGAGTCCCCTCAGGTAGCTGCGTCTGCGTCTGCGTCAGGTCAGCTATCCGCCCCCTGCTCGTGTCGCTCTCTGGCGCATGAGACTGTCCTCTGGCACCACCGCCTTGGTCACCCGTCTGTGCAGCGCCTTCGGGCCATGCACAAACGGGACCTTGTTGCTGGTCTTCCCAGGGTGCTCCCTCCCCTTCCCGACTCGCCTGCTCCTCCCTGTATTCCCTGTGTCGAGGGACGGCAGCGCGCCGCTCCTCACTCCTCCTCCTTTCCCCCGACGACTGCTCCCTTGCAGACGCTCCACATGGACGTGTGGGGCCCAGCCCGCGTCCGTGGTCAGGGTCAGGAGAGGTACTTCCTGATAGTTGTTGACGACTAATCGCGCTACACCACAGTCTTCCCCTTGCGCGCCAAGGGTGACGTCCCTGGTGTTTTGATCCCCTGGATCAGTCGAGCCCGTCTCCAGCTAGGCAAGCGCTTTCACTCGGACTTTCCTGTCCTGCGCTTGCACTCTGACAGAGGTGGTGAGTTCGCCTCCGACCTCTTGGCAGCCTACTGTGCTGAGCACGGTATTGAGCAGTCGTTCACGCTTCCGGCCTCTCCGCAGCAGAATGGGGTCGCTGAGCGCCGCATTGGCCTAGTCATGGAGGTCGCTCGTACCTCCCTGACCCATGCGGCTGCTCCCCACTTTCTGTGGCCGTTTGCGGTCCGATACGCTGCGCATCAGCTCAACCTCTGGCCCCGTGTCTCCTTGCCGGAGACTTCCCCGACTCTGCGGTGGACGGGAGAGGTTGGCGATGCGTCGCGTTTCCGGATCTGGGGATCTCGAGCTTTTGTCCGCGACACGTCCGCGGACAAGCTCTCGCGTCGCGCCGTTCCCTGTGTCTTTCTTGGCTTTGTGCCTGACGCGCCTGGATGGCAGTTTTACCACGTCACCTCGCGCCGGGTTCTGGCCTCTCAGGACGTCACTTTTGACGAGTCCGTCCCCTTCTACCGCCTCTTCCCCTACCGCACTGCCCCGCTCCCCCCCCCGCCTCTCTTCCTTGCTCCAGGTGCTGAGGTACCAGACCCCCTCCCCCCTCAGGGTGCCGCTCCCTCAGGTGTGTCCCAGGTAGACCCGGGTGAGCCTGTCGAGGTAGCTGTTGACTCGCGTCCTGCGTCTGGGGGTGCTGAGCCTGGGGGTGCTGAGTCTGGGGGTGCTGAGTCTGGGGGTGCAGAGCCTGGACGTGCGGAGCCTGGGGGTGCTGAGCCTGGAGGTGCGGAGCCTGGAGGTGCGGAGCCTGGTGGTGCTGAGTCTGGGGCTGCTGAGTCTGGGGGTGCTGAGTCTTCGGGTGCTGAGCCTGAGCGTACTACACCTGGAGGAGCCCTCTCCTCCCAGCAGCTGCAGGAGAGGTACCTCGAGTACTGCCGCCTCCGGAGAGGTGCTTCTGGAGCTCGTCCCAGTACTTCCCCTCCTACCCAGGAGCTCCCCCCCATTCAGGTGATCCGAGAGTGGTACACACGGCGCTGCAGTCTTCGGAGTGGTGCTCCTGGTGCAGCGGACCCGAGCGGTGGCGCTGTTGCTGGTGCTGAGGACCCGGACGCTGGAGCTGCTGCTGGTGCTGAGGACCCGGGCGTTGGAGCTGCTGTTGGTGCTGAGGACCCGACCGGCGGCGCTACTGCTGGTGCTGAGGACTCGGGCGTTGGGGCTGCCGCTGGTGTCCCTGCTGGTTCTGGAGACGCTGTGCGGCCGCGACCGTACTTCGTACCACTCCTTCAGCAGGTTCTTGGTCAGGCTCCTCCTCCTAGTCCTCCTCCCACCGTCGAGTGTCCTCTGCCTGTCCCACCGCAGTCACAGTTACCGCCTGCCTCGCCTCTCCCTGCTCCCTCTCCTTACACTGGTCCCACAGGAGGTCTTACAGAGCGTCGTGAGCCTGAGTCTCGTCCTGCGTCGCCTGTTCGTACTACTCGCACTGGTCGTCGTATCCCACGTGAGCGTCCTCCTCTTGTCCCTGGCACTCACTACATGACCTTGCGTCCCTCCACTGCTCCGCAGCGTGTCCCGCTGCCGTCTCCTCCTGCGTCATCTCTTCCTACTCTTCCTGACCCGGAGTCTGACTCCCGTCGTGCGGCCAGTCCCACTGTTACGCGTCTCCTCGCTACAGTTGTCACTGACCCGACCTTTGAGTCCTCTGCTGCGTCTGCTCTGGTCGCTGAGCTGGTTGACTTTGCTGCTCGCTGTCGCTTAGACTACGCTGCCAGCCTTGTCGCTGAGTCTGAGTCTGAGTCTGCCTGTCCTCCGTCCGTCGGGGGTGAGTGTGCTCTTGGCACGGACGTCCTTGAGGACAGACAGGAGGAGTTCCAGTGCTTTGCTGCTGCTTTGCCCCATCTCGTGTCCATGCTAGTTGCCCTTGAGGGAGACCCGGATGCACCAGACATCCCGACCCCGCGCTCTTACGCTGAGGCGATGGCGGGTCCCTACTCCTCTCAGTGGCAGACAGCCATGGACGCAGAGATGGCTTCCTGGAAGTCCACACGCACCTACGTCGACGACGTTCCCCCTCCTGGGGCGAACATCGTCAGTGGCATGTGGATTTTCAGGGTGAAGCGGCCGCCGGGTTCTCCTCCTGTCTTCAAGGCACGCTACGTGGCTCGAGGCTTCAGTCAGCGAGAGGGAGTCGACTTCTTCCAGACCTTCTCCCCCACCCCGAAGATGACCACTCTTCGGGTGCTGCTGCACATAGCCGCTCACCGCGACTACGAGCTTCACTCACTTGACTTCAGCACTGCTTTCTTGCAGGGCAGCCTGCACGAGGAGATCTGGTTGCGCCGCCCTCCTGGCTTCACTGGGTCGGTTCCTCCTGGCACCCAGTGGAGGCTTCAGCGGCCGGTCTACGGTCTCCGTCAGGCGCCACGTGAGTGGCACGACACACTGAGGACGACGCTTGCGGCTCTTGGGTTCGCTCCCTCTACTGCTGACCCGTCGCTGTTTCTACGCACCGACACCTCGCTGCCGCCGTTCTACATCCTCGTGTACGTTGACGACTTGGTCTTTGCCACAGCTGACACAGCGGCACTCGCCCACGTGAAGTCGGAGCTGCAGAGGAGACACACGTGTACAGACCTGGGTGAGCTGACAAGCTATCTTGGCTTGCGGATCACCCGGGACAGAGCACGGCGCACCATCACCTTGACTCAGTCACACATGGTGCAGCAGGTTCTCCAGCGCTTCCGCTTCACGTACTCCTCGCCTCAGTCCACTCCTCTGCCTACCGGTCACTCGCTCTCAGCTCTGCCTTCGGATGAGTCCGTAGAGCCGAGTGGCCCGTATCCAGAGCTTGTGGGCTGCCTCATGTACCTGATGACCTGCACTCGACCTGACCTTGCATACCCCCTTAGCATCTTAGCACGCTATGTCGCTCCTGGCCGTCACAGGAAGGAGCACATGGATGCTGCTAAGAGGGTGTTGCGCTACTTGTGCAGTACGTCGGGCATGGGGCTTGTGCTTGGAGGGCGGGACCGGGTTGTTCTCACAGGGCACTCAGATGCTTCTTGGGCAGACGACCAGGCTACTCAGCGGTCGTCACAGGGTTACACCTTCAGCCTTGGCTCTGGCTCAGTTTCTTGGCGTTCTACTCGTTCGTCTTCTGTTCTCAGCTCCAGTTGTGAGGCTGAGATCTACGCCACAGCCATGGCTGCTCAGGAGCTGCGCTGGCTGACCTACCTGCTGACCGACCTCGGAGAGCGGCCTCGTTCTCCTCCAGTGCTGTACGTCGACAACAAGGCTGCCATTGCCTTGTGTGAGGAGCACAGACTGGAGCACAGAACGAAGCACATTGCTCTGCGGTACTTCCTTGCTCGAGAGCTGCAGCAGCGCGGTCAGCTTCGTCTGCGTTACGTGGCCACTGAGGCCAACACTGCTGATGTGTTCACCAAGGCACTCCAGCCTTGTGACCATCAGCGCTTCTGTACTCTGTTAGGTCTTGTGCCTACTGGCCCTCACTTGCTCACTTCTTGACTTTGCCTGTACTGTGATCACTATATATTTATATACCTGCATGTTTACTCTTGCTAGGTTGTGATCATTGTACGTCTTGCTCTATTATAAACCTGCATGTGAACTGGTCTTGTGACCGCTTGTTTGTGCTCGGAATTTGTGTGGAATCCTCGAGATCCACCCTGAGCTTGTTTGCCTTACTTTGCCTTGACTGGTCTTGTGACCCCTAGGTCTCCCCCACTTTGCCTATGGGGGTGTGTCAAACATTATATATGTTTGGTTTGTTAGGCTACAGTGGGTTAGCCTGTATGGGGTACACAATTCTAGGGTTAGCTATTTGTACTGATTTCTCTGTTAGTTCAACCATTCCCAGTCTCGTAATCTTGACAGGAATGAATTTGAATAAAGGAATGTACCCCTTAGAGTACATGGCTAATTAGGTCGTTTCGTATTCCCTTGTACTCATATTTATATTTCTTGTATTTGCATGTTTTATTTTATCTCAAAACATTTTACATTCACTCTGCTATTGAGGTCAAGGGCCCACCAAACTATCTCACTGCGTGCGAACCTTCCCGGGTAGATCCTGGGCTATGATCAACTTCTGATCGCAGCATGGTATGAGAGCGGCTCGGGAATCCTTCGCACTGCCACTCCCGAAAATTGCGACATTCGGAAAGTGGCGTCCGGCACATGCTCACGAGTGAAGATGGCCGGAGGATCTGGTGGTCAGACCAATCTGACGGCTGAAGCGCAACCAAACCCGGCTGCGACAAGCGAGAACACGACGACAATCGGCTCCGAAGTTCCCGCACAACTTCTTCAGCGACTCACCAGCTTGGAGCAAGGGCTCCGAACATTGCGGAATGGCGACGCGGGAACATCCTCACAACCCTCTCAACCGGCCCCGACTGGCCAGAACGCCACCTCGCAAACATTCTCCCTCGACACCAATGGCTCAACCCCTAAGACTCCCCGTCCCAGTGAAGAGGCAGTTCTCTCCGCCCTATCAAGGTTACTCAGCATATCAAAAATAAAGACAAGTACCTGTTTTGACGGCAGAGATTTTTATACCTGGAGCTTCGAGTTGGAGCTCTTGCTGCAGAACGCCCGAATTTTCCATTATTTTGACGGGAGCTACGCGGAGCCCGCTGAGGACACCGACGACGCCAAAGCGAGGTATTACGACGAATCGTTGATGGCGTACGGGGTGCTCCTGCGGAATATGTCGCCGGCAGAGCAGCTCAACATTCGTTCTTACAAAACTTCGGCTGCTCCAGCCCTTAACGCTTGGCGGCACCTGACAGGAGTCTATCAGCCCAAGGACTCTGTCTCTTCGAGACGACTACTCCAGGAACTCCTGGAAACCAAGATGATAGCGGGGGAGAAGGTCAACAATTATCTCAATCGCTGTCGGAGCCTTCACGACCAAATCGTGAAGCTGGGAAGCACGATTTCAGAGGAAATCTTCGTCAACATCGTGCTTCAAGGGCTCGGCCCAGAGTGGCGGCCCTGCAAGGCGCTTCTCCGACAGCAGGGGGTCATCTCGGAGGCCGCCCTTTGCGCCGCCCTTCTCGTCGAACAGAGGGATATGGATCAGCAGCGACCAGCGCCACGACGAGAACGAGAACGGCTCGCCTTCTACGCCGACAACACTGAAGAGCAAAAACCACGGCGCCTCTACTGCAAAATCTGCAGAAATTTCGGGCATCTGGCGGATCGATGCAAGAACCGATCCCGCCCTCGCCAGACCAATCCGAGCACCTGGTCCGGCCGTCAAGATGCACGAGGCGACGTGCGTCCAGCCCAGGGGTATCAGCCCCCTCCCGCGCGCAATCTGAACCCAGCGGTTCAGCATCAGCAGCAGCAGCCGTCATCGACTGCCCCAGTTCGCAATGTCATGAGCAACATGACCATGGCAGGCGAATCGCGTCGTCGCCGCGTCCGCTCGCCTTCACCTGAGCCGGCACCTCACCCCATTGGCGCATTCACCAACAACAATCCGTTCAGTCCGCGCCACGATTTCACCGACGACGACGACCAAGACTGGAATCTTCCAGTCCCACTGCTTGAAAGTCTCCCGCACGTACCTGATATGCGGGTGGCGCCACTCGATTGGCTCAAGCGCGAGCAATTTTTGAAGTTCGACACTCCGCACATCGTCACGCCGCGACTGGCGCTGCTCGCCCGTGACGACAACAAGCGCTACAACACCTGGTACCTGGACAGCTGCTGCGGCCAGCATATGGTGGGCTCCGAGCGTTACATATCCAACGCCATCCCCACTCCTACCGTCACTTATGTCACTGTGGCGAACAACACGCACCTGCGCGCAAGCGCGCAAGGCATCGTCGTGCTCAAAGCACGCGGGAGCCGCACGCATATCACGCTCAACGATGTGCTGATCGTCCAGAACCTGTGCTTCAACCTCCTGTCCGCCGCACAGCTCATGGATTGCGGCGTCGACCTCAGCACCGACCGCGCGACGCGAGATATCCTGCTGCACTATGAGGCGCGCAACTTCCCCCGCAGGCAGATCGGACGAGCACACTCCGAAAATGGGGTGTACGTCCTGGACTTCGATATTCCCGACTGCACCGGCGACTCGCACGAGCTCATTGACCTCGTGCCACTGCGCTTTGAGCACATCCACCGCAGGGATTGGAAGCACCCTGACGGCAGGCCGTGGGTGCCACATCATCCCCACCCACGCGAAACGGCGCTTCACAACCCCAATCCCGATGGAATCTGCAGGGATTGTCACACGCCGACAACCTCAACGAGCGCGATCGCAGGCCGCGGACTCGCCGCCATCGCTGAAGCAGAGCACAACGCGCCGCCTGAGGAAGGCATGTCGCAGCTCGAACTTGAAATTGCTACCCACGGTGTTTTCGGCACGAAGGAACATCCCCTTATCGGTCCCCCCTCACAGCACCTGCAAGGCATGCTGCGCGGAACAGGGGTCGGGACCTTCGATGCACTTGGGGAGCCGCGCCCCTACACCTACGAGAAGTTCCTGGAGGACTACTCGACTCAGCGCGACCCGAAGAAGAAGCTTACCGTGGAGCAAGAAGAAGAACTGGCGCGCCGCGAAGCTGAGGTGCTTCGCCAGCAAAGCCTCGCGGAAGCACGCGGGACCTTCGTTTGCGCCGCCTGGGGAGCCGAGGAGGAAGCAAGCGCCTCCAAGAAGGGGGGTGGGGAAGCGCTGGAGGATGGGGAACAAGCGACACCGGCGGATGGGGAGACAACGCCGGAACCTGGGCCAACGCGAGCGGCGGATGGGGCACCGCATCTGGAGCCGGCAATAGCGGCTGGGGCACTTCCCGCAAAGAACGAAGGGGGGAAGAGGAAGAAGCCGCGGAAACCGAAGCAGCACCTGCAGTCGTTCGCGAGGGCCTCTACCTGCAGGAGCTTCCGCAAGAGGCGAAAATTCCAACTTCGCCCACATTCCACCTTCACTGCGACAACCAGAGCGCGATTCGCATCGCGAACAAACCTGGTTTCGTCAACCGCACCAAGCACATCGCGCTGCGGTACTTCTTCGTGAAGGACGAGGTGGACAAGGGCAAGGTCAACTTGACCTACTGCCCGACGGGTGACGTGGCAGCAGACTTCCTCACGAAGCGACTACCACGCCAGCAGTATCAGCACTCCTCCGAACTCAGCGGCGTGGTCAAGCAGGTCAAGTCGAGCTACGGCCAGGAGTGAAGGGGGGTGTTACGAATAGTAATATTTGATATTACTGTGCACTCCTCACCGCAGCAAAGGGAAGCAGGCAATATCGAGAATGAATGTGAAGCGTCAGACAGTTGGAATCGAACCGAAGAGTCAGACGGTTACAGCACATCTGGACCGTCGGAAGCAGACGGCATCGGGCAGCTGCAGGCAGAATGGTTTTGGCGGGAACAGTTACGAAACTGTACGCGCCGCACAGTTGGGAATGAATTTGAATAAGGGAATGTACCCCTTAGGGTACATGGCTAGTTAGGTCATTTCGTATTCCCTTGTACTCATATTTATATTTCTTGTGTTTGCATGTTTTATTTCATTTCAAAGCATTTTACATTCACTCTGCTATTGAGGTCAAGGGCCCACCAAACTATCTTACTGCGTGCGAACCTTCCCGGGTAGATCCTGCGCTACGATCAACTTCTGATCGCAGCAGTCGGGAGGAACGGGATCCTACAGGATCCTAACCTAGGTGATACCATGTCAGAATCGGAAGTGTTGGTTCATTGATGATGGTTGGGGTACAAGTAGATTAGTTTCTCTTAATAATAAAAAGAGAAACTAATCTAAAGATGAAAAAAAAAATGATAACCTAGTAGATTTAGCTAGCTTATGGATATGTTAAATCGCTACAACGCAATGGCGCAACGATCGAGCGGCGTAATGATTGAGCGGCGCAGCGACGCAACGACGCAACGAGGCAACAACGCAACGGCGCAAAGATCCGACGGTGCAATGATGACATACGATGTAATAAATTGCAACAACACAACCACTCAATGGCGGATCTGCATTTACTAGAAATACTACATGTTATAATGTATGTTCCATTTTAGACTAGCTAGTATATGTGGCACATTGTAAAGATTGCGCTGAAGTACATTCCCACCTCTGAGCAGCCAGCTGACTTCCTGACAAAGGGGCTGCACTTTCCGGCCTTCAACCGGTGCTCCGTCGCGATCGGCCAAGTTCGTCTGGCAGACGTTGGCGACGGTGACGATGATGTGCAGCAGTAGGTGCCGTGCCCTTATGCACGGCTGGTGCGGTGATCGACGTGCTGTGTGTTGTGTGCACGCCGAAGCATTTTTCCCGTGTATTATAGCCCTTGGGTTCTGGGTGGACCTGGTGTGTGGGGTGCCCAAGCGTGAGCGCGGCAGGGGAGTGTTGAAGGAAATTGGCCCCGCCCTCGCATGGGCAAATTGACTTGTGTTCGGGTGTGTGGGAGGTGCAGCCGACCTTCCGCAGAGGTCGACGAAGGTGGTCGTCGACCTGCGCGGAACCACTGTGACTTC